GAAAGTGGATCGCCAACGCTGTTCAAAACGTGTACCTACATGAGTGCATGCATCGGCTTTTGTTTTCCCAATTCTTGCCTGGAAGTACTTTCAGGTCTTAACTCGATGCGATCCGCCACAAGGTCGCATCTGAAAAGACTCCAGCCCAGCTAATCCCGAGAATTCCAGCGAAAAGTGGTGTGTCGGGAGATCGCATGTCGGCGATGAGAACCAGTGATATCGAATGCTTGGCTTGAGTTAAGATAGACGAGATTGCTGATGATCCGCCAATCGCAATGCCCATGTACGCAGGGTGGGCCATGTTTCAGCCTACCATTGTGCACCGGTCTGCCCCAGCCAACGGACCGTGCCCGCGATGTGGAGGAAGAATGGAGGCCAGAAGGAGATTTGAAGCGACAGTGTTTCGTGTCCTGAGTTTGGGCTCTGTGATGGTGGTGGTGGGGTGGTGGTGATGATCGTGGTGGGTGGCTGCTGGGGTGAGAGATAGGCTGATGATGGCTGATGGCGGTGTTTCTCGAGAATGCCATTTACAGGATCAAAATATAGCTGGCCTCAGGCAACAGTTCAGCTACCTTCAAATTCCGGATCTTGCTTTCGAAAATGCTCGTGCTTCTAGCCGTTAACTGTTGCACTTGCTCCCTGACACATTAATCATCCTGGAATGAAGTCTAACTCATGGAGGCTCAGTGAACATTTATGGAACGACTCTAGTATAAGATATCCGAAAGCTGTCTTATTATTTTCGATGAAAGGGTCAACTTCACACACAACAAGTAAAATGTCAGGGTGATTCCAGACTTTAGATGACGCATGCAGGCCAATCACTCATTAGGGAGGAGACTGTAGCCACCTTGAGCACATCTTCAAGCTTGATTAGAGCCACCTGTTGCAAAGACGAGGGGGGTTGGCTATCATGGTTGTAGCGCAGACGTTCACGTGAGATGAAGTCATACAAAGCCTATATTTCACTTTCGTTCTCGAAGGCGAGATGAAGTGTCCTTATTGAACTACGTGTAAGCCGATAGAACCAATGCTTGCATTTTATAGAGAACATTCGTTCAACCAGCCTGATAGGTAAATGAGTATTGGGAATGAAGGCTTTTGAATCACGAGTTCGAACACCGGCGAGGTTCAGATCTTCAGGCAGAAAGCTTCAAATGGCTTTGTATGACTTCGTGTCGCCGACAGTCGGAACAAGATCGAACTAACCCACCGACATCTGAGAAGCAATGAAGCAATCCAACAGAGGGACTTTTCCCAAGTATGAATCTCTGATGGTCGAAGAGTTCTGGGCCGGTGGGAAATAGTATTAATCCGTTCGCTCGCTGGACGGACGCAGAAACAAAAAGCCGGCCCTCCGCGTCGGCGCGATCATCCCAGTATGAAACTATATCCTCATTTCCCCCTCCCCGAGTCGGCATCAGACTCGATGATAATGTACTCATCTTGTAAATTGGTCGCGAAATAATGTTCGTCGTGTCCTGCTCGTCGCCGACGGCATTCGGCGCTAACCCCTTCAAAAATCTCCCCGCCCAGGCAAGTTTAGCCTGTAAAACCTTGCCTGCTGTTCTCGCGTCTTCCGTCCTTCAACACTCTCTCTCCTCCATCAAGCCGGAGCATCGCTCCACCATCCACCATATCATTACCCCATAGTTATCGTCTTCTTCAGCCAAGATGAACTCCCGCGAGCATCCTGATATGCCTCCGGCCCACTCCTATCCCTCCCCCAACGCGGCGCAGATGAGCCAGGGCGCCATGCAATACTACACCAACCGACAGTTGACTGCCGATGAACTTTTGTCCGCCGAGCTATCGCGCGAAACCTCTGGCCCTGGTCTTGCTGATGGCTCAAGTAATGGAGTTCACCATGGTCAATCAATGGTCCTTGGTTCCTCCAATCCCGGTGGTCCTGACATGGGTCGGCCTGCATCCCCAGATCAGCATCAACAACAGCACATGCTCCAATTTACGCCAAGCCAGCAAGTTGGTGTCGATCCAAATCACGACTTGAGCTACGGAGACCAGAGCGCGAGGAGGAAGAGATCGAAGATCTCTCGCGCATGCGATGAATGTCGGCGCAAGAAGGTAACGCGAACTACCCTGCTCGCCACGCGACGCGGTACGGTTAACTGACAGTACCTCTCGATTAGGTCCGCTGCGATGCGAGCTCCGAGTCTGGCGTCGAAACGTGCTCCAACTGTCGTCGCCTTGGAGTTGTTTGCCAGTTCAGCCGAGTTCCAATGAAACGAGGTCCAAGCAAAGGGTAAGAATGGTCGCGCGCGTCGGGTGTCGAAAACGGTTTCGCTGATGCGGAGTGATAGCTACATCAAAGAGTTGGCGGAGCGCTTACACACATTGGAGAGTCAAATGCAACCTGCTATGGTGCATCCCGACATGCCATATCAACCCATGAACGAAGTCTCCTCCCCCCGCGCATACCAGGATTTTTCGCCTCCAATTGACAATGGTCCCATCGGTCGCAAAAGGACATATTCCATGTTTGACGGGCTTCCGAGTGCCTCCTTCACGCAACCACCGTTCAATACACGCCCCCAGACGGCTTTTGGTTGGTTAACCTCAACATAATCATCATGTAATTGATCTAATTATACCTAGACGCAGGAGAAAGCTCGACCGACCCATGCCATCCTTCCGTTGTCAACAACACAGCACCTAAACCTGGGAATCTGTTTTGGGCAACCGGCAATGAAAATGAGTTACCCCACGGCCTCGACATCCCGGATGTCCCGAAGCAAGCATTGGACGAAGACATGACTCCCGTGGATGTGGATGAAGGTGCTCTGAACGCGTAAGTGCCCTTGCCTGGGAATGCTGTATGCATTCGATCTACACCGCCACGTGCTAAACCCCAGTAGCTATTATCAAAGGATACACCCCGTTTTCCCAATCCTGCCCAACTCAAAAGAGCGGTTTCTTGAGATTCTTCACCGTTGTGGCCGTGAGCTGCAAGAAATCTTTTTGTACAGCCTTTATACTGTGACGCGCGCCAACTTGGAGCGTCTTAGCGGCTCTTTTGAGAGGGTCACCTCCTACGAAAACGCACAGGATCTGCTTCTATACTACACGCGCCAGCCAGCTATCACGCGGTCAACTACAGTCAACCTTATTTGGCTTCAAAGTATACTACTTATGATTCTCGACTGTGATGCGCGTGGACCCGACAACATGGTTATGAAAGACGGTGTGCCCAAACATACTCTCATCCAGTCAGCAACCAAGCTCGGTTCGGATTTGGTTAAAGGTCTTAGTCTCTGGAAGTCTCAGCGGGTCACAGACCCTGACGTTGATTCTGATGCATCTCTTGCCCGACGCAGCTGGGTATCCTTGGCGATAATGGCGCGGTGGTATGCTATTAGTGTTGCTGACCCAAGTGTCTTGAACACGCTTGACGTTCGCAACCGTGGCGACGAACGAATTCTTGGCTCAGTTACTGCCAGAGTCTGCTGTATGTACCACACTGCAACATTCCATCATTTGATACCGTGGACTAACCACCAGTTCACTTAGCGTATTCTACCTTCCTCGTTGAACTGGCAAATCTGGTGACTGAAGAGCAGAATCTTTGCCAGTCCAACACTGGCCCTGGCCGGTTAGTTGCTAATAGCATGGCTGCGCGCCTAGAGCTACTTGGAGAGGCCGCAGATGTTGGAGATCATCGGCGACCTTCCGAGAACGCAGAGGACGGAGCGCCCTCCAGCTTCCTCGACAGCTTACAAAACCAACTGTACTGGACCTTGCGATTGTTGATCAAGCGCCATATCTTCATCTACACGCCTTACGAGATTATCTACGCCGCCGAAGAGGTTATCAATGAATTGCACAGAGCCAGCTCACAATACCGTCTCACGTCTCCTTTCGATATTCACAGTCTGGCTCTGGCAAGTATGACCCTGCTCGAGGCCACGGTCCTCCCTGAATATGCCAACGAGTGCTGGGACTCAATTAAGAAGGTCGAGGAAATTCTCGATCACCGCGCTAAGCGGGCGGCGGAATCAGGCGAATTTGGCGACATCTTCTACACTCCGGCCTGGGACTCCAAAATCCGCACATTTATCGAATGGCGACGCGCCAAGGCACAGGAGAGTCAATTCCAAGACTCAAACATTGGCAGCGGCGCCAAGAGCGGCTCTGCAGCTCCGCCAATCCTGGGTCCGAATGAGCAACGTTCTCTCCAGCATCTGGCTGACCTCGCCGTGGGCGCCGAGGGCCAAGTGGCTGCTGCGGCTGCGAACGCTACTTCCCCGCCCCCCGTTATGCCCCCCACTGAAAATCACTTGACCGTCACCTCACCCAATCTGGCTTCTGGCACGCAACCCCAGGGTCGTATGGTTGTGGACTTCACCCTCCTCACGAGAGAAGGCTACCTGAACGTCTTTGCTGGCTTGATCTATCATCGATCTCGGTAAAGTGCCCCAAGGTCCATAGATCTGTTGCTTATCGGCAAAGGAGGGTTTGCTATATCTCGGAACTTCTTTATCACTCGTGTCATTGTATCTTGAGCTGGAAACATTTTCTCTTCTCCCATCTACTTCTACCCCTCAAAACCGAAAGCGTTCCTGTTGCATTTCCGAACCATTGGCTTTTAATTAGCAAATTCGCGTGGCAATCAGCATGGTGCTACTTGCTACGATAGTGTATTTTTAGGTGGAATTCTATTCGTTACAAATCATGTCTCGCCTGCATTCCGACGCTTCTGCCTATTACTCCTTGCCCTAGTCCGTAGTAACATGGTGAGGTCAAATAAGATATTCCCTCCACAACTTGAGGACCTGTGACGAAAAATTAAAAAGAGACAGCACCAAGGAAACAAAGAAACAGAAATATCGAGGCATTTCATACTTCAAGGCAAGAACTCCGCCGTGAGACGAAGACAAGAAGCGAAAAAAAATTAACGAAACCTCGGGAATTATCGCGCGAATTTCGTTCAAACAAGGAACAAGAATAGCAAGGCATCATGGGGAAAGACCCACCAGCCCAAATCACGTACCTCCTTTGCTCACCCCCAACTTCATTCGCTGCCATATGCCCTCCACGTCTTCACAGAGCTTGAGAAAGGCATCGTCTTCTACGTGACGACAGATCCAGGACTCGACGAGCTGCATACGCTCTGTCGTGGATGCTGAACCATATGATGCGAGATCTTCCGGGGTTGGGAGTGGTATGTTCTGCAGCTGCAGCAGTTGTTTTCCCCGGGGTGGCTCTTGCTGCGTGGCTTCGGCTGTTGTGGTGGTGGGGATGTTGTTTATAGCTGATTCGAGAGAATAGTGCTTCTGGTGCTGGTCACAGGAGATAGTTGGCTGCTCGTTGCTTGGGGTTGCGATGAGGCCTGGATAGGAGGGCAAAGAGGGCATGGGAACTCTAGGGACTGGCTGGGACCCGCCTGGGTTAGCTGCTGGGGCTGGGAGTTGTGCGGCTGGGTTCGAGTACTTCAGGACGGTGATTCGGGGAGTTTCAGCTTGGGTTGGGAGGTTCGTTGAGGGCCAAGGTTGTGTCTTGTTTGCGGCAGAAGACAGAGGGGCTAGTTCTGGATATGGTGTAGACACTGTACACTGAAGTTAGAGAGGACGTCATGGGAGTTGAGCTTCACACCGCGCGCGTTGCAGATATTCACCTGTGCTTCCAAATGCTGCCACATTCCCAGCGGGGATGCCGGTCGTGGCGATTGTGTGTGTCCTCTTCATGAGCGGTCTGGAAAATGGGAGAACCCTCACGGGAGGCGGGTCCAGGTTTGATGTCTCCAAGGGTAAGGTAGCAGTAGAAGGTCTGGACGGGTCAGCCTCCGAAATGCCTTGGATTTGTGAGGCAGAGGGTGGACGTTGGCCATTGAGGGATCGCGTAAGGCTACTGTCTGTATACATGTACTTGGCGAGACTGCTGGGTGTACTTGTCGTTTGGTACGGATGGCTGGTCCCTAGGGTGGATGAAGATGCGGACGTTATCGATGTGCCTTGAGCCTCTCGTTAGCCAGCCACAAGCTGTCTGACTGACATGTTCTGTGGGGATCAATACCTGCTGTGGCGCTGGGCGTCGGTAGAGGGGCACATGTGCCTGGTGCGTACACAGGGAAATCAACGCTGTTGTTGGAAGGTATTATGGCATTCGGTACTGTCAGCTCACTTGACATGGAGCCACGTCTGAATGATCCTGGGTTCCACTGCGAGGAGGTCTGTTTATGATGCATGGGGGCGGGACTGGCTTCTGAAAATGGGCAGTTCATTTCGCTGAGGATCGCGAGAGCTGCATAGTAATCCCTTTCAGCGGAGAATTTGATCTGAAAGCGGCGAATCTATGCGCAGGTCAGGCTCGATCGTTGTTTGTATGTGTGGGCCTGATTATCCACTCGTACCATGTTTCCGCGAGGGTATTTTACTGCCAGACAGGGTAGCTTGACAACGACGGCGAATAATGGCTTCGATGCTTGGCCCTGAGCAGGCTGAGCTGGAGCTTTTGTTGCAGCTATAGCAAAGAAGGAGAGATCGAGCTCTTCCTAGTCATGATGACACCTTAGCATGAAGCTCATAAGATAGTATCGATAGTGGAGTCTCACAATGATATCGTGGAATCGAGAGATTCTTAGGAGAATACTACTGCTAGACGAGCTGTTCGTGGCCTGGGGCTTTTCGAAAGTGGCTGCAAGATCATTGTTCCCTATAATATGGCCCCAATTCAATGGGCCTCTGTGATTCAACGATGTGGTGACATGGGAGAACTTGGCTAAGGATAGACGGGCAAGAGGCGTGTCTGGAAGTGGTCGTGAACTAAAATGATGCATGATATCTATGACCTGAAGAGTCCAACTGGCGAGCTTTGTGGTCAATTTTGGGTTTAAGATATGATCCAGTAGGGGTGGGAAGTAGAGTTTGTGAATCCGTAGCCAAATGCTTCGAGTGGGCGACAAAAGACATGGACAGGTGACCAGGGGGACCAGAGCCGCCATCCAAAAAGACGCCCATTCCCGGTCTGGCTATGCTAGCTCAGCTCTAATTGCATCCAGTAGAAGTGAGTGATAAAGTAAAGACAGAACATGGTCTCAAGTTCTGCTTAAGTCTTGAGCAGCTTACTGTTATAGAGCTTGACTTTGAGAAGAGATAGAGGTCAATACAGAAGATGTCAGCTTATATTTGGAGATCAAGAAGACCTCATGATAGATAGCATTCTTACAACCTTTCATCCTGAGTACAAATTTGCTCTCCAAGACACTTCTTAGGCCAGGAACTGTGACCCATGGAGATATAGTGTACTCCATGCCTGACGCTTAAGGCAGAGAAGGCTGACTCAGCAAATTCACAAACAGGTCAAACACCATCTGTAGCGGCAAGCCGGCCCGATGAATGATCCGCGCACGCGCCTGAGGCCAGTAGGAGCAGCGCGGACTTTTGCCTGTGGATGGCAGGACGCTTCGATCGCAGGTTCAGCTTGTCTCTCCATTCACATAGCCCCCCTTGGGCTCCAGCATAGGAATTGATTCTCGGTCTTGAGGTGCACTATTCGCCGATACAATCCCATTTATTGCGCAGCAATATCTCCCACATAATTCACCAGAACGTCTATCGCGAACGTCTTGTGTTGTTATCCCGCCATCGCATCCTCTTCGGCTTCAAGCAGACTGTCTCCGTTAGCTTCGTATCGCGTCCAAGCTTCCAGATCGTCGCCCGAACCGTTCATCAATCCTAGCAAGCCAAATTTGAAATAAAATTGGAGCGCGCCCGATCCCGCAACACGATATTTTGAGCACCATTCATACGATAGGGAATTATTCTAGGGCGACCAGGAAAGGCACAGAAGGCCGCAGGAGGGCTCTAAAGGCACGGTGTGCTTTCACACTCACCTACAACTCGCCTTTTGACCTGGAGGTTCTGCGCTTGAGCTCTTGCAGGGATCTTGTCAATATCCCAGTTCAACCGCGCCAACCTTGATTCTCAATTGGAGTCAGTGACAGACAACACGTCAAGGTTAAGACACAAAACAAACGGATTGCGAACTCCCCCGGAAACACAGGTCCAAGGGCCCAGGCGTGCTGTAAAGCGAGCCCAAAATGTCCACTCAAACCCCCCGCACATCCCTTCGAGGCAAGTGCTTTCTTGACGAAGTCCTTCCATTCACGGTTGAGAAGCTCCGACTAACAAATCACAGAGGGTTTGCGGCAGGCTCCCAAAGCAAATCAGCCCTTCATCCCCGACACTACCCCCGCTAGACGCTCACATGTAATCCACGCAAACCAGTCACCACAGCCCGTTCCTCTTACCTTGAGTCATTCCAACTCACCCGCACCGACTGTGAACAACTCCCAACCTTCGAACGAGAACTGGGAAGGAAGGGATCCGAAGGTGCCTATGAACACACGCGAGGTTGCAACCCCAGGTAACAGACCGGGCCTGTTTCTCAGCATGCATAGTAAAACAGCCAAGCAGCCCGACTTCTACGATCCTTACCTCCCTCTCAGATATCTAGAGGTTCCGAAGTGTAAGTGTTTATTGCTTGGAGCTGTTCCTCAAGCCATCTACGTCAACTAACCAGTCTGCTCAGCTGATCACATCTACAAGCGTGCGCATTATGGGCTGCAATCAGGCGTTCCGGACGAAGTCGACTTTGCGCTATTCCACCTGGTTCAAATATCCAATCAACGCTGGGACAAGTTCAAGTTTGAGGGCTTCCCATTGTTAGCGGAAACTTTGATGGAGAAGGCTCTAGATGTATCGCTTCTTGTCACAGGAGTCAAGTGGGAGCTCCAGTACGACTTCCGTGAGCCTATGGCCCGCGTCAATGTGCTCAATTCACTATACGGCACACGCGATATACTCGAGAGAATCAAGCATATCCCCGTTACATTACCGAAGGACACTCTGGAGACATATGAGTTCAACCATCGTCTACGAAATGTCAAAGAGGCAACTCTGGTACTCCGAAACATGGTACTACTCAAGGAAAATGCATTCTACGTGTCGCGTTATGCCAAAGGACTTCTTAGAGATTTCCTGGTGATTCTGATCAACCTCCCAGATCAACCACGTCTTAACGAAATCAGAAATGATGCCTTGGATATCGCAGAGGAGGTGACGAAGTTCATGCGGACTGACCCGGAAGATCCACTTTGGCTCTCTCTGCTCAAATGCCTCGAGTCTCCTGATCGTGCTCATGTCGTGCGAGCTCTGTGGGCATTGACGCACTTTTCAACTGAGATCGATGAACCAGAAGGCAACCGGGCCATGGAGCGCATGCCCAAACAGACCCTGCAGCAACTATACTTCCACACACTTCTCGATTTGGACAAAGATATTTTGAGCGGTGCCTTGGACTTCTGGTATCAATACACTCTTTCGAGCGAGAATATCGAGACCATGCTCGATGTCTTCGATTTCCCCAGCATCTTCGTTCCGCGCATGATTGCACTACTGACGTACGAGGCCCGAGCCACCAAGATGGAAACCGTTCTACAAGATGAGAAGGTTGCGCCACCGCCATCTGAGATCCCCCGTGTACCCCCTGAGCTTCTTAAGGATCTGATGGAATTATCAGAGCCCGAGCGTAGCTCACGCTGGCTGAGGTGCTGCTTTGTTGAGGATCCGGAATGCGAGATCACACAGATCGCCCTCTGGCAGGCTTACCAGAGCCGATTTGCTGATCCTCGCGTACCAGGAGGTGGTGTTCTTCCTGCCGCCGAGTTTATCAAGAACGTGAGCACGACTTTCACTAACGCTCAAGCACAAGTCATTAATGGGCCCGGCTCCTCCACTCGATTTATCATCAAGGGCATCCGCCCTTTGGAGACAGCCTACACATTCCGGGGCTTTCCTTACATCTACTGCAGGTGGGCCGACGACTCCAAACCCACCAAAACCTGCCAGCGCGCCTTCTCCTCCCCGACGGATCTCCGCAACCACGTATTCGCTGATCATATGCACCTTAAGCCCACCGAAACACCGGGCCACTACAACCTGGACAATGCCCAATCAGCTATTCACACTTGCCTTTGGGAAAACTGCACGCGATTCCGCGGCTCTAGCGCCAGTGCGAACACCGCCGCGGTCGCCGGCCACGTCGCCTCCCACCTCCCTGAAGAACGTCCCGCAGACGCAGAGGCTCCCGTCTCCAAACGGGCTGTGCTCCAGGAGCGTATTGTGCGCAAATGGTTCTACCTCAACACCCCAGTCAGTGAGCGCGGCGAGCCCGTTGGGGTTGCGTACAAAGCGGCCTTAGTCCTTCGCAACATTGCCCGCAACCTTCCCAGCGGTGTCGTCCAAAAATACAACGGTCTTCCTTGGAAGAAAGCCGTCTTCTTGAGTCACCGCCCAAAGATCGTGGAGGTATGGGATCGAAACCGCTCGCTGCGCAAGGAGCTCACGGAATTGATCATGTTGATCGAGAAGGAGGATTACTACTGAAGAAAAAAAAGAAGAAAACAAAACAGAACAAACAAGAAGAGAAAAATGAACACAACTCTTTTTCCCCCTCTTACCCCCTTTTATCACGATGATGAAGTAATCTACACGTTTCGGCTCCGCGCGCGACGATTCGAGGATTGATATTTTTCTCTTCTCTTGTGCTACTATATGACAAGGTGCTATATTATCACATCTATTTTCTTTCCCCCTTCCTTCTTCATTCTATCAGTGTCATTTCTCTAATCTCCTTACCTTTCTGTGGGTCTGTTCCGTCGCTTCTTCTCGCTATCTTGGTTTTTGTACAAATACCCTGGCTTCGTGTTTACTATCAGTTCTTCATTTTCAGTATCTCTTCATACCAAAACTTAAGTGTGTTCTCCTTGAGGTGTATCTGATCCCTTTCTACTCGCCTTTCCCTTTATTCTGCTTCACCTCACTTATCTAGTCAACCGAGGGTGAGAAAGATGGGATAAGCACGGCGCATCGTCTTTCCTCGACAAGTTCGACAAAGCAGTGGGAAAAGTGGGAGTAATAGGGGGTTCGTGGCACTGTACTTCGGAATGACTATCTGGCGTCTCGGGGCGGTGGCGGTTCTGATCTATCAGGTCGGCTTTTTATGAGGGTAGTAGAATTCCTTTCCCATACTTTTACCATTTTACCATTTCAATGCGGAGAAACATGGATTTGTGGAATGCGGGCTTGCTTTGTGCTTTGTCTTTTTTTTTTCTTTCTCTTTACCCCCTGCCTCTTGCCATGAAGTATATCACACTGTACACGGCTCATTTTTTTTTTCTCCGGAATTTCCCCTTTCCTGCTTTGCTTTGCAGGTCATGGATGGTGGTTCTCTTGTCGCATTTTCTTTTCCTTGGCAAATTAGCTAGTGATTGATGTATACTACAGGTGGTCACGGATGGGTAGGCGTGCTTCGTTGAGGAGTGGAAATATTAGACGATAATCTGTTTCGTTTGCATGATTTACTGTAAAAAGGGTACAGATATACGTTCTCGGGGTTGCAACAACGGTGGAAATGTGCATGTAGGGAGGGGAATTGGTATTTTTGTCTATCATACACTTGCTTGTTCTGAGATGATGTACAAATAATTATGTTATGACCATCACCGTAAACCTGGCAAGACATATATGTCTGTGAGAAAGTTCTCGTAGTTCATCCAGGCGGTTATCTCGTTAGCGGAGTTTGCGTACCCCATGTCGACGGCATCCCAGACGCTGGGCCAGGAGGCGGCGTTCTCCAGGCTTTCGGGAGTGTCTAATGCAGCCAAGGCATCGGCTGGAGCGGATGAGCCCTGGTCTGGTGGTTGCTGTGCGCTTTGGGTGGGTACGTTTGAGGTGAAGACTGGTGGCGGTTGCGGCGGCTGTTGTTGTTCTTGCT